CCCGTTACCTCAGTCGCTCGCCGTTCAAACCGGCCCCGCCCGCTTAGCCCAGGATCTGACGTCACGCGCACCCGGCGCGCTGACGTCACTCCCAGGCCAGGGGAAGCGGAAGGCGCGGCTGCACCGCCCAGAGGAACAGGGAGGCGGGGCTCGCTCGTCTTTCTTTCCCGCGCTCATTGATTGGCTGGAGGGACGGGATGGCGGCCCTGGCTCCGCCTCCTTCCTGTCGCCGCCGCGCCTCCCCGGCAGGCCACGCCCCCAGCCGGAGCCCCGGTCGCCCTGACCCCAACCCGAGCCCCCCCGATCGGCGGGGCACGTGGGTTGCATCCGCGCCGGCCAAGGCGGCGACGCCGCGCAGGTCCGCGCCCGCTTCCCCACCGGCGGGCTGCCGCGGGAGACGTGACTCGGGGGCGCGTCCGAGCAGCCGTTCGGGGTCCCGGGAGGTCTGCTGCATGGAGGCCCCCGCGAGGCCCGTCGGCATCCATGTGGAGCAGGCGGGCCGGGGTGGGGGACGGGAAGGGACCCCGCGGCAGCCGGGGCGGCGCAGGTGCCGCGAATAACGCGAGGCTGTGGGCGGGGCCGTGATTAAGGCTGCGCTTCGGCGCCTGGCGGGGGGGTCGCCGGCAGCTGCGACCTCCTGCGAGGGACTCGGCTTGGGTCGCCGGGGCCCCCGCGCGTGGCTTGGCCGTGCGCGCCGCCTCCCTGCCGCGCGTGGCGCCCCGGCCCCTTCAGGCGGTGCCCGAGGCCCCACCCGGGGGGGCAGCGCTTCTGCCCGCGCATCCGTCGCCCGGGCCTGCCCCCCCGGCTGCCACGCATCCAGACGCGTGGGGGGGCGGAGGGCTGTGCCCCGCGGAGCCTGCAGTGCCGCCTCTCCCGGAGCAGCCGCTTCTGGGGCGGGCTCTGCGGAGGCGCGCTCGGGGGGTCTCAAGGGCCCCCCGCGCGGTCAGCGGGGCCTGGAGCATTTCCGCCCGGGAGAGCCGCCTCTGGCCGAGCGGGGCGCCCGCCCGGCCGGCCGGCCTGGGGCTGATCCCGCAGGCGTGGCCGGTCCGGCCCGGCCCCATCAGTGTTGGCCTCGAGCTTGCCTGGATTCTCCGCGGGGCAGAGGGCCTCACCCCCGGCGTCGGTGGCCCCGGGGATCGTCCTGCAGCCTCAACCGGCGGGCTTGGAAAGGAGTGGCTCCTTTATTTATTTGATAATGCAGGTATTCTTCGCTTATTGATTGAAGCGAGGAATAATCAGGAGGACATTGCACAACGACACACATGCTAAGATTCTGCAGGTTTTCCTTTTCTGTGTATAGTGCGGATTTATAGAAGCTTGAAGTAGAAATAGTGGTGGCAACATCCGGTATGAAGGGAGTAAAAGCAGAGCAGCCATCAGAGAAATGGCTGTAGCTCACCAGGACAGCTAAAGCCAACGCCGTAGAAACCAGGCTGCGCTGCCGAGGGCGCTGGGCCAGGCAAGGGGGGCACCGTGCGGCTGCTAGCTTTGTGTCCACGGCACATGCCCATCCCGGATCTACTCCCACTGGGGCGAATTCTTTAACTGCCTTGAATCCTCCACCATTCAACACGATGGGAGGAGCCTCGGTTCCAGAAACGCAAGAAATGGCCCGTTTTCTCCACCTTAAGTTCATGCGGCACATCCTGGAGAAGCTGGCCCAGCCTCTGGACTGCTTTGCTTGCCTTGCCTGCATTTCTTCCCACTCTTTGGCCGTTTAATGACCAGAATTATACAGCACAGTCCAAGCGCAGCTGTACCAGTCATTGCATTGGTGTAAAGCCATAAAGTGATATGGCCACTTTTGTTTCTGATGAAATATTTATTTCCCGGGGATCCTCAGCGGAGTTTGCCTTTTCCACAGCAGTCATACATGGATGGGTGTTTTTTAGCCCCAGGATGTATTATTTTGCACTTGTTTACACTAAACCACGTTTCCCATTTTAATTACTTTTCCCCAGTTGGAGAAATCCTTTTTGGCGCTCTTGAGGCCCCATAAATACTCTGTTTACACTGTCCACCAATAATGCAAAATAATTTATGAAGTTGGAAAGTACCTGGAGATGCAGCCCATCTCTCCTTGATCTGGTGGAATCAAGGTGGCCTAACACCAATTTCCCATGGCCACGCACTCCAGCAGCAGAATTGAACTGAACCAATTTGTGCCCATCATGCAATGAAAAGAGCAAGGAGACCCAATTATAGAAGAACACTGACTTTAATAAACAATGATAAATGTTCAAGGTAAACTTTGTAGAAACTTTTTTTTCATTTCCAGTAAAAAAAACATTTCCCACAAAAGGCTCAGTTAAAGTTGTTTGCTTTGGTACTGAACTTCTGATCCATGAAGTTCATTTTAAAAAGAGAGACAAAGTTTGTCATTTTGTTAAAAAAAAGATTATAAAAACACTCAGTTTTGACATCAAAAAAAATCTAAAAATATAGCACCAATAAAAGAAAGGAAAGCCTTTTAAACACAATGACATTTTTTAAAATGCAGTTAAAGGTGGGGTCTGGCCAGGCAAACACATTTTAGCTACTGCTATACTTTGTACAGCTTAAGAACCGGGAGAATAGTTCCTTGTTGCCCTTGGGCTGCCTTGGGTTCCAAAACTCATCCTGCTTCGATGGAGGATTTTGAGCTATAGTAATGAGGAAAAATCATTAAAATTTGCTTGCAGAATTGCTAATTGCAACCCCGCTACCCTGATCTAGAAAGGAAAAAAAGTGGGTGTGGGGGGACAAGCAGAAGGCACATCTGGTTGATTGACTTTCTGGAAATACATATTTTCACATTTTGGGCCCCTGGGATTCTGTGCTCATTCACAGACCTGGCAGTGCGCGCCAGAAGCTTTCTGGTGGCAGCAAATTCAATGGACTCCCAGGGTGAGAACCTCGGCACATGGAAAGGCTGCAATTTCAAGGCCAGGAAGCTCAAAGAAATCAAGCAGCACATAGAAAAGCCACATTCACCATTGGAACAAATGGCAAGTTCTGCATCTAAGGAAGAAGAAGCCAGAGGCGGCGTTACAAGATGGGAATACCTGGCTCAACAATCACAGAGGCGAGGAGAATCTTGGAATGGTTCTGGATCTCAAGCGATGTGACGCAAAAAAGGGCAAACGCTGTTTTTGGCTGCATTAATGGGATTGAGGAATCATGCCAAATCCTCGTGAAGTATGAGTCCCCCTTGACTCAGCCCTGGCTAGGCCTCCTCTGGAGTCCGGCATCCGGTTCTGGGCACCACAGTTTAGGAAAGATGCAGGCAAGCTGGGAAGGGTGGAGGCGGCCCAGAACTCCAGAGAACAACTCCAGAGCGAGCAATTTGGGAACCGGTGTGGCGAGGCCAAGGAGGGAGGCAGCGGGAGGGAGGGAGGGAGGGGTGGCAGGCATGGCAGCCGGAGTTCCCTCACCCTGCGCCTTCACTCCTCTCGCTTCATTCAGAGCTTCCCAGCAGAACTTTCCTGAGCTGAGGCGGCTGGTCCCTGTGAACGAATGCGCCAGGTGAGCAGGACAGGCTGCTGCCCAGCGGCCACGGGTGCAAAGCCGGCTGGAGGGAAACCTGAGTGAAACCGACCCCTCCGAGCATCTAGGCAGAAGTGGGGCTCCACCTCTCAGCGCATCGCCGGAGGAGTCTGTCTTGGCACATGCTCAATGAGCGCAAAGCACGGCTTGGGCTGCACCCCAAATACTGCCGGTGGGCAGTGGGAGGTGGGCTCGTGGGCAGTCTGTGTGCACCCCCAGGAAAGGGGGGTCTGTGGCCGCTCGCAGCCCAGCTGCAGCCTTGCACCGCCCTCTGCTCATCCCGCGCAGGAGATCTCGGCAGATTGCTTTTCGTCAAGGTTGCTTGTTTCTTGGGTGCTGCTTCTGGCCTGCTGGTCACATTCGTTAAAGGCACTCTTCAAAACACACGGGGGGGTATTAGAAGGGGCAAACCTGAGGCAGTAGGACCAGCTTGATGGGGCACAGAACCGGAAGGAAACCATCACCAAAGGGCGTTCACCGTGGGAAAAAAAGCCACGCAACGGCCGGCCTGCGATGGCTTCCTGGAGGACTGAGATGCAGGACTTTGCTCTCAGGTCTAACTGTACAGGTGAGAGTGCAGAAGTATCGATGCTACAGGTTAGCACCTGGCAGAGGTGAGAAAGGTAGAAAGAGACGTCACTGGAGACTCCCAGTCCATCAGGACCCAGAAAATCAAGGATCGTCTCTACTCCTGGTAGAGGGATTTTACTGCCCTACCAGGCTTGTCCTTTGAGTAATGGAATCAGTGGTAGAAGGCAATGTCAGTTCAAAAATCAAGCTAACGTTCGTAACAAAAATAGCAGCATTGAGAAGGGCTGGAGCCAAGCTCCCTCCAGTGAGGTCCATGCGGGGCAAGCGGCCCTTCAGGTAGTCCTTCGGTTGTTCTGGAAGAGGCTCAGTCAGTCCCTAGCATTTCTCAAAGAGAAGAGGAGAGTCTCTTGGCAATTTGCAGCATACGCATTTGTAAAAGTTCTTTTTGGCACTGTGCTGTCTTGTTTCTCGGCCCCAGTGGAAGCTTCCCTACTCAGGTCCTTCTGAAATGACTCGAACTTGTGCAAATGCTCAGAGAACCTCTTGCGCTGTTCTGCGCACTTCGATGGGCTGTAGGCAAAGAGAAGCCCATGTGGCGATACAAGAAGTTTCTCTTCCTTAAGATGCCCCTGAAATTATGTTAAAAGCATTGTTTTGCTGTTGTTCTAGTGTAGTTAAAAGTATACCTGATACCTGTGCAGAGAGTCAACCTTTTGCTCAAACGACGATTATCTTACTGTTCAGTTTCAGTTAAATCCAGTTCAGGAGTTCCCACATTCTAACAAAATGTTGTAAAGCAGCAACCAAAGTATCTTTTTCCCAAAAATGTTTTTCTGTTGTTTTCTATATATATATATAAAAAGGGACAGGAGGGGTTAAGAAAAGAGGGAGGTGGCACCCCTGATTTTTCCAGTGTGTAGATTGTGTAAAACACAGCAAGGATGGCTCATGTCTAGAAGTTTGCTTCTTCAGCAGCTGTTCCTTGAGAGTTCTTTTCTCATCCCTCGTTCAAGTTTGCCTTCTTCAGAAGGCCAGCTTTGACTCAGGTAGCAAATCAGTGGCTGTTTCTCAAGAATTTGGAAAAATGGTTAACGCTGTTGTCACACCCCCATCACACACTGCCAGTCCAAGGGACGCGTCCCCGAGGTCTCTGTGTCTGACTATCCGAGGCTGCCGGCTCCGGTGGGGGGTGGGGGTGGGCAGCTGGGGGTGGCGCCTGGAGGACGACGGCGGTGCCGGTTCTTGCAATTCCCTCCAGGCGGCTTGGTCAGGGACCTGGACGCCCCTCGCTAGTCGCAGGCGAAGTAATCCTTGAGCGGGGCAAAGAGGTGGCGGATGACCGGGACGCTCCAGGACCGGCCAAGCAGCTTCTGGCGAGCGCCACGGCCCATGTTGGACACGTCCGTGTAGTGCAGGGGGAAGCCAAAGATCCTGGAAGAAGAGGCAGAGCGGTGAGCGGCGTTCACACGAGCGGGTCAGGAGCTGGCCCGTCCTGCAGGGAGGCCAGGTGTGTGGCGTTCCCTGGCTGAGGGCCCGCTCGGCGTTGCCCCCAGGCTTGGGTGGTGCTCTGGCTTCTCGCAGCCCCAGCCCCAGCCGGGCCCTGAACAAAGATCCTGGCACGAGAGGGGGAGGAAGCGCTGCCTGGCCACGTGGGTTGCCTGCAAGGCCGCACCAAGGCCGCCGCGGAAGCCGACTCGCCCCGTGCCGTCCGCAGGGCCGGTCCCTGGGTCCGTGCAGGCTCGGCTCAGTGCTGCATCACCGCGGCAAAGTCTCCGTGAGGCCGGGCAAGCCTCCCGCCGCCCCAACACCCGGAAGGGTGTCCAAAAGCGTTTGGAAACCGATTGGCCCTTGCGAATGCACAGAGCAGGTGGAGGTTTTGCTCAGTGAATGCACAGCCAGCATTTCGACAGGAAGTTGGCCAGGGCTGCTGCTCAAAGTGCTGCTACCCCGACTTCTACCCTGCAAAGGCATAAAAGGTTCCGCCAACCCTGGCGGGGTGTTGGGGAGGTGAAAGCCCTGCCTTCATGGGATATTCCTCCACAGCCTTTGAGCCCTTCTCCCCATGCCAAGACATCCCGTTTCGAGCCTTCCGAACAGCAGCAGGAGGGGGTCTGGGGGAGGACACTGCCCCCTCAGCTGGGGGCTCTCTTGCCCCAGTCTCTCCTCACCATTTCCACCTTCCAGCCAGCTTAGCCCCCTGACCCTGGTCCAGGGGTGCTGAGCATCAGGGACGGCACCCGCAACCTTCACAGGGCGGCAGGACCCTCGTTTCACACGAGCTTTTCGTCACGTGCGTGGGGGAAAGAGCGACACTCCCCCGCCTCAAAAGCCTTCCACCTGACCAGGGCTGCCGGGCCTGCCCACACAGGGGCGCTCTGGGCGCTCAGCGGCCCTTCCTCCGGGCAGTGGGTGGAAGCAAGAGCTAACCCACCCCTAGTCAACAAAAGCAACCTACTTCTGCAAGAGAGAGAGAGAGAGAAACCGGAGTCTTCCTCGCCACCCCCAAGAAAGCCCCCGCTCACAGCCCGGCCTGCGGGCCTCCCCTTCCCTTCCGCCCAGCCGCCTCCCCGGAGCTCACCTTTCCAGCTCGGTGCACCACAGGTTGTCGTCCTTCCCATTCATGCGCACGGGGAACGCCTGGGCCTTCCCCTGCCGGATGGAATTGGACTTGGTGGTTATGGTCTGGATCTTTTTCAACTGAAGAGAAAAGCGCAAGGAGCCAGGTGAGTGTCCCGGAGGAGCCGCGGCAGCCGATTCCAGGAGGTGCCCAGAGCAGGGCCCCTGGGGGCAGGCAGCAAGGGCGTGGGGAGAGGAGAGGGGGCCTTGCCGAGCTCCCCCTTCCTCTGCCGGGCACAGCAGCTGTTCTGCAGGGCCCTTTGGAAGGAGCCAGGCCACTCCTTCCGCACAGAGGGAGGCAGAGACGGAGGCACGCCGGCCCCGGAAAACAGTCCGCCAGCCCTCACAGCAAGAGCCCCCGGGTCTCTGCACACACCCTGCCTGCTCGCATAAATACTGCAAGGAGTATGTAGCATAATTTGCCTTCATCCCCAGCCGGAACCGTCGTGTGCTTGGGGGAGCGTAATGCTTTTGGTCTGGGGCGGGAGGCAGACGCCTCTTGCTCTCTTCTTTTTGCAGAGGGGCAGGAGAAACCCACAGGGGAGCAGGGAAGAAAGGGAAATGGGGCTGGGGGCTGGGGCTGCAGCGGCTGAGCCCCGGGGCTGAGGGAGGAGGCAGGGCGCAGGGAGAGAGGCATGGGTGTCTGCACACCCGTAACCCTCAGGCGGTGTCACCCGAGAGAGACCTGGGAGGCATGCAAGCCTCCGGCACATTCCCAAGCATCCCGAAACCTTGGAGCCAGGGAGGGTGTCAGGCTCCAGACCTACCTTCGCCGTCCTGTTGTACTCCAGGCAGTCCTGAAGTTCGAGTCGGTCACTCTTTGAAGCGACCAGGGGCCTAAGAACAGACCAAAAACCATGACAGGCCAAACCAATGGCTTCTGTGATGTTTCATGGCACGTGTCTTGTTATAGCAGCCACCCACAACTGGTTGCCCTCCAGATGTGTCGGAGGACCACTCCCGTTGCCCCCGGCCAGCATCTGGAGGGCACGTCATTGGGGAAGGCTGCTTGTGACAAGGCGCTAAACCCACTGGGGTAGGGGAGGAAGGTGCCTCGGAACGGCTTGAGCCGCTTCTGTGGCTCGGCACCCTCTCTGTCATGCGAAGGGCAGAGGGCAGCTCGCACCTGCCTTGGCACACCTGTTTCCTCTGCCAAGAGGCCGTGCGTTGCGCATCAAGCTCCCTTTGTGTGCCAGCCTCTCATTTCAACCCGATCCCCATCCACTGGGGCGGGCAGGGCGCCACGAGCCCCGTTCCGTCCCATTCTGCCATCTTCTCCCCGGCCTGGGCAGCCCCACGCTGCGGCCCTGGGGCAGACTTGCTTCTCGCGGGGCCCTTTTTCAGCGAAGCCTCCTCTGGGGATCCGAGGAGCGCACACGGACGGACAGACTCGTGCATTGGGAGAAGGATGCATTTAGCAGTGTGTAACTGGCCTATGGCCCTCGTAAGTGCTCACAGCCAGCAGGTCAACAGTATTTTAAACCTTCAGAAAACCCAAATGCATTCAAAAAGGAATGGCTTACTGAAAGGGCGAAGACGACCTCTGGACGATCAAAACTTGAAGGAGTCTGGCTGTGACCTACTGCCTAGAACCGCGCGACGGGGACCCCTCGGGCAGCTCGTTCTGCAGGCTGGCGCTGCCCCCAGCTGGGCTCATGGGCCCCAGGCCCCCCAACCAGGTTCGGCATCGGGGCTCAGTGAAGCAGGGGAGAGGAATACACCTTCCGAAATTACCTGTTCATCCCAGGCAGGTTGCCCCAGAAATACCGCGCCCGGTGTGCGGCGGAGACCTTCACGGCATCGATCATGACTGGGTTGCACTGCGGAGAAGAGGGACGAGCGTTTAGGGGGAAGCTGCCAAACGGTCCCCCGTTCCTGTGAAAGCGGCAGTATTTGCCACCGAGCCCCTGCCCAGGGAACAAAGAGACAGGTGTAGAACTTGGAGCATCCTCCTGCCAGCCGTGCCTGGCCGTGCCAGGCGTTCTCGGGTTACGCGGGAGTGGAAAGACTTCTTCAGCTTAGGCATCGAGATTTAAGGCATGAAAAGAACAGGTATGCCGAGAATACAGGAACGGCAGCTCCCCGATGCCCAGCTCACACCATCCCTGACCACGGGCCCTGCAGCGGCGTCCGGAGGGCACCGGTTCCCCCCCATGTACGGTGTCATTCTGTTACGTAATTAAATACGGCAATGACCGCCAACCTAGATGGCTTTAAAAGGTCAGACACATTCATGGAGGAGAAGGCTGTTCATGACTCCTATTCATGATGACTGTATGATATCTCCATCCATCTCTGAAGACAGTTTGTCTGGAACAAGCATGATAGAGGGCTGTTGCCCTTGTTATCTTCTCTGTGTGTTTTCAGGTTGGCCACTGTGGGGGAGCGCTTGCTGGAGTAGGTAGGGCCTTGAGCTGATCTGGCAGAACTTTTCTTCTGTGCTTAATCCTTCCGATTGAGATCAAGGCTTAGCCAAAGCCCCTCTGTGAGATGGACCAGACCAGGCCTTCTCCACAGTGGTGCCATCTCCACGGAACCTTTTTTGCCAGTTGCTCTTAGAAACTAGAAACTCTTAGCTGGACAAATGAGGAGATGGGCATCAGGGGTTAATACACATCAGGGAACCCATACACATGACATGGAACCACAAGTTATAAGAAACAAAACAAGATAACTAGTATAAGAATATTAGATTATTAAATATTAACCTTACTCAGTTTTTGAAGTTTGTGTGTATCTAACTATACACAACCAGAATGCTGGCCAGGGCGACTTCTCTTACATTGTTATTTATTTTATATTGTTAATTTTATATTGTTATTTTTGTATTTTATTGTATTTTATTGTGTTGTAAGCCACCCCGAGGCTTCGGCAAGGGGTGGCATAGAAATGTTTTAATTAATTAATTAATTAATTAATTAATTCCCATGGAACACCAAGGGATGCAACAACTCCAGCGCATCTGATGAAGGAGACGGCTGCTGGCTGGGCTGACACACCAGGTCACCGGTCGTTCACACATTCCACCGAGCACCCCTGCAGGGTCCTGCGTTCTAAATCCCGGACCTTCCCCACTAGAACCCCGGCCTGGGAAGTGTGCAAGGCCTTCACCTGGTCACCATAAACGGCCTTTATGTGGCATCGATGGACCATGGCGGTTATTGTCCATGTCCTTTTTCTTAAGAGAACCAGTACGGTGTGGTGCTGATGGTGTTCGGCTGGGGATGTGGGGACCCAGGTGCTGGTTCCCACTGGGCAGCTTTGGGCCTGTCACAGACTCTTAGCCATCCTACCTCACAGGGTCGTTGTGGTGAGGAGAAAATTGAGCTATGTAAGCTGCTTTGGGGTCCTCCCAAGAGGAAAAGGGCAGGGGTATACAGAATTTATTCCACTTCTAGCCTTTATTTCACTTCTATTCCACCCAAGAGCCCAAGTTGGGCAGTCGACAACCATCTTCCAGTAAAAAGTCTTCCTAGAGCAGAAGGACGTGTGGATTGCAGGGATCGGGGCGAGAGCGCCCATCTCGCCTCTCCTCCAAGGAGCCGGAGAAAGCCATTGTGATTCACCTCTTCTCCCCTTCATCCCCACAACAACCCTGCGAGGTAGGCGAGGCTGACAGGCAATGAGAGTCAAAGGGTGGGCTTCATGGCCCTGTGGGAACTGGAGCCCGGGACCCCCAAGTCCAGCATTCTCACCTCCGACCCCCGGCTAGCCTGGGTCACGGGGGGCATCCTGGAGCCGAGACTGAATGGCTGCTGCAGGGACCTGCAGGGCCACGGTCCCTTGCGGGACCTTGTGCCCCTCCCAGAGCAGGACGGCACCCCGCGGGGTTTCGTGGAGAGCGTGCATGCAGGCCGGACTGTCGCATCTGCGGTGCAGGCACGCTCAAAGCCCGGCTCCCCTGGCCGTTTATTCAGCCAGGAGCAGACAAGGTGAAGCAAGAGACCCGGACGGAAATGGCGCTTTCTGCCCCAGGGCAGAGAAGCCCCTTGGCAGCGTTTACCTCCAGAAAACGCGAGATGTCCCTCTTGTCGTTGACTTTCATGGCAACGACATTCTCGAAGAGCCAGAAAAATGGCCGCTCCTCTCCAGCTTTGGGGCGAGCGAGTGTCAGCAGGTGATAGAATTCAAAGAACAGCCTTCCGGTTCCCTCTGCAAGGAGAAAGTGGTGGAGTCGACGAGCATTTGTCTCCCGGAAAGCCCGGAGCCGACAGCGGAGCGACCGTGCCTGACTCGTTAAGCCTGAAGTCCTCCAGGTTTCAGGACCGCTTACCATACAAACCTTTCCTGGCCGGATTCACAGTGGAGAGATCGTTGCAGGGGCTGCCGCCAATCACCATGTCGAATGGCCCCCACTCCTCAATCTGCGACAGACGGAGAAATGGCGGCACGGCTTGGCATCACGAGGAGCCGGCAGCGGCACGCCGTGACGGGGGCCCTGTGGATGCCCCGGCTGCCCACCACGCGCCTGCTTCACGGGGCACGGCAAGCGAGGACAGACACACCCGGAGAGGCGCCCAAGCCACCGCGGCTGCCTCTGCTCTCCAAACCCAGGAACCGGTGCTGCCCCAGGTACCCCGACCCGGCCCCCAGCACGGCCTCCTCTGCCAGGCGCATGGCCAGGGCGCCCCTTACGTTCTTCTTGGTTATGTTCCTGACGTCGTGCACGTAGCTGATGCTCCCTTCGTGCCGCACCGTCCCCACAGCGATGGAGTCTTCGCAGATCTCAGAGGCCACGTATTTCTCCACCTTGATGCCCAGATCTCGCAGGACCAGGTAGCCTGCGGAGCGGAAGCGGCTCAGGTGAGAAGCTGGCGGTGTGACCCGGCCGGATCCCCCAAGCCTTCCCCCCCGCTGACGTGGCCCCTGCCCCTCGCCCCATCCCGTGCGAGTCGCGAGGCACGGCGCTGACCAAAGGCCGCGGGAGCTGGGCCATCCTCGGGCGCGCACGGGCACTGCCGCGGGCCCCGTGATGCCCCGGGGCACGAACCTCAACCTCCTTCAACAGGAGCCAGCACCCAGATGGAGGATATGTGAATGTCATGGAACAATGAAACGGAACAGCTCATGAACGCCTGCAGGCAGGCCGAGGACTGCAGGACGGGACGCGGATGAAAAGCATGGACAGTAGTAAAACGGTATCAAATTAACCAGACTGGCCTTAACGAAGGAGAATACAGGCCATCCGGAAAGCGGCCAAACTTTGCGGAAGGAGAGGCCGTGGGACGAGCTGTCCTTAGCAGTGATGACGAATGTCCTCGTCCATCCTCACATTGACCTGATAAGGCAGAGTACCATTTTTCCCAACAGCCATCATCCACACGCTGCGAGGGCGCTGCGGTTTGGGCCAGCACGGAGGCATCCTAGTCTCCCACGCAGGGGGTGCGGGAACGGAAGGGAATGACAAGACCCCCGGGACGGCCCAGAGGCCGGCATGGACCTGGGTCGGGTGTCCCACGTGCTCCCCGTAGGGGTGAGACGTGCTTACCACGGGCCGGCCAGCTCCCACCCTGTTCTAGGCGAGGCCCCCCCACACACATCCCACCCTGGCGCACTCGTGGCAGGCATGCGCAGCTCAGCGAAGCCAGGAAATCGGCTAGCGCAGGGTGCGGAGACACCACCGAGCTGGAGGCTGTGGAAAAGGGGAGCTTCTCCCGCTCCACATTCAGGGAGAAAAGACTTGTCCGCGGCCAGAGGTCCTGAGGCTACAGGCTCCCTCCAGGAGCAGACGCAGTGTGCCCATGTGCCCCAGCTGTTGGGGCGCATGGGCAGGAGGGTACTGTTGCACTCCCGCTCCGCTTGCGAGTCTCCAGTTGGCAGGTGGCCGTGGGCGAGGCGGACCCTTGATCTACCTAGTGTGGCTCTTCTTGTGCTTTCACGCGTACCTTTCGTGCAGGTGGACCGAGCGTCTGAAACTTCGTGAGAAGTTCCCTCAGCCATGAGGGGACACAGCCTCAAGCTTAAAGGGGTACATACCTTGCCTGCTGACCCAGCACACCTCTGAGGGGGCTGTCCTGGATCCAAACCTGGCACGACACACATTGGCTGGCGGCCCCCCACCACGGGCGCACGCACTGCCCCCCCGCCAGAGTCTGGGCTCCTTCAAGGCCTATGCTTGCCCCGTCCCCGGCCTCTGGGCAGGGCGTCAAGAGGCATCGTTCCGTTTAGTCTTCCGAAACAGGTCCTTCGTCATGTCTGTTTTCACTGCTTTTAGTTTTTGTGTTGATTTTATAGTTTCAGATTTGCACACTACCTTGATGGCTTTTATCAGATAAAGAGGTATGCAACTGTTTATCAATCAATCAATCCATCCATCCATCGTCTCGAGGTGTCTTACCTGTCGCTATGCCATCAAAGAGAGACAGCACCCTGATCGGCCGCCTCTTTGCGGCTGGGATGGGAGGGTAGATTTTTGGTGCCTCCTGTGATGAGAGGCAGAAAAAGGGGTGAGCTGGGAGCAAGCCCTCCTGCCTCACTCCCCGCGATGCCGGAGGATGCCGGAGCCCTGCTCTCTGGACGGAGGCGCGCTCGGCCCCGCGCCCTCTGCTTTGCAGCCCTTCGAGGTCGGAGTCGCTGGGCCCCAGTCGCGGCACCTTCAATACCTGGTCTAGGTGGGAAACATGCCCGCAGTCTTCCCGGGCGGCCACGCCTCATTCCGGCACCAACCCTGGCGGGTGTTGCCAGGAAAACGGTCAGCTGCCCCCCCCCACACAAGCGCTGCGTCTCAGGAAGGACAGACGTGGCTCGTGCCCAAGCTACACGTGGTCCCTTCTGTGGAGGTCTGGCATCATCACGTGGCAACAGCAGCAGTCCAATCTGCGTGTGTGTGTGGGGGGGGTCCTGCTGGGTGCCTCCAGGCTGCCATCCCCAAGATGTTGCCCCCAGGGTGTAGGGAGCCTGCACCCCAGTAGTGCGGGGGGGGGGGCTCTGGTTCGGGTCGGACTGGCCCGTGGGGTCCCGGTTCGAGGCCTCTGGGCCATGAGGGTCCCGGGGCGGCTCCGGCCCCATCACGGCTCCTCAGCCCGAGCTACAGGGGCGACACGGAGGAAGGTGCGGAGCTGCCCCCCCCCAGGGCCCTCGGCAGGCAGGCGGGCTCCACGGAGAGCAGCGCGAGGCCGCGGCTCGGGGCCAGGGCCCTCAGCTCCCCCCCGACCCACCACCGCTGCCGCGGCGGAGGAAGGGCCGGGCTCCCCCGCTGCCGCGCGCGCCTGCCGCCCCCTTACGTATTCACGCCCGCTCTCGCTGGTGAAGAACTCCTTCAGGCGCGCGCTCCAGTCCTGCCGGCGCTGCAGCACCCCGTGGCGGCGCTGGGGCTGGCACATGAAGCAGCTCCAGGGCTCCTCCTCGCGGGCGGCCTCGGCCGAGCCCCTGCCCACCAGCGCGTCCAGGCAGTCCACGCAGAAGCACCTGGCGGCGAGAGCGGAGGAGATGCAGGCGCCGGCCCGGCCCGGCACGCGGGGGGGCAGGGGGGGCGGGGTGGGGGGGGCGGGGGCCCACCTGAAGCAGCTGGCGTTGTCGCAGAGCAGCAGCTCGCTGCCCTCGCAGCAGATGGAGCAGTAGGCCTGGTACCCGTCGTCGTCGTACATGTAGAACAGCTCCAGGAACCGGTCCTGCAAGGGAGACGCCTCAGCCCCGTCAGGGAAGGTGCCGGCCCAGCCCTGTCCAGCCCCCGGGGCAGCCAGCGGGCAGCCTTCCCCAGGGGGCAGTGGCGTCCTGACCCCCACGAGCCCCCTGGCTGCAGCCCTCCCCCGGCTTGTCTCCCTGCGGGGCTCAGCGGGCAGCCACAGGGTCTGCCTCCTCCCTCTTGTGGCTGGCGCGGCCCCGATGGATCCAGGCAAGGCGGACCCAGTGCGCACGGGAGAAGCCCCCATCTCCTCGCACGGTGCCTGCCCGCTCACATGGGAGCCCTTCTGGAGAGGGGGCCGGCCGCCAGACGTGGGGGTGCGCTTTTGGGACTAGCTGCAGAAGCCAGGAGCAGCTCCGCCGGGTTTCGGGCTTTGGGGCCAACGTGCCTGCTGCCCCGGGGGACGCCCTGGGTTCCCCTGACCTCGGGCGGCAAATTCCAGCCTGCCCCAGAGGCATCCAGCCGGGCCGGGCATGCTGCGTCCTCCGCGGCTCCGGCAGGTTTGCCTGCGTGTTGAGCCGTCCCAGCCGCGCCCCCAGCCCCAGCCCAGCCCAGAATATGCCAGGCAGCCTGGGAGCCCGTTTTTCTCCCCTTCCCATCACACTTCAGGGGATGTCCCCTGAAGCAGACGGACGGACAGACGGTTCGGGACAGGTCCAAGGAAGGGGTCCAGCCATGGGCCACCAGCGTGGGCCGCTTGAGAAGGGGACCGGCCACAGTCCTGGCGGAGGGGGCTATCGCTACAATGAGCCAGGCCTATGGCGTGGGCAGTGGGCCCGTGCGCACCAGTTGCTGGGGAACATGGGTGGCACTGCACTCGTGATGTTCCTCTGGTAGGCTTCCCACTGGTTGGCCACTCCAGTGGTGAGGTCCAGGTGGGCCGCCCGTCAGGTGTGGCCTGGCTCTTCTTACGTGCTCATGCGGCAATTAGCGGTGGGGAAGCCCTACCAGAAATGGGGGAGCCCTACTAGGATCGGACATGTGACCATCCGGGAAGACGGGCTTCCCGGTACTTTCTCTCTTTACCCACACCCCCCCCGACAGAGGGCTGTGGGGGAGCTAGAAGCATCCTCTGAGCACTTCCTTTCTGCAACTGTCTCACACGGCAGACCGGGAAAGGTGCGGTGGGTGGGGGGACCAAGCAGGTCTGGACTTCCCAGACCAGGCTTGCTCCGTTTGGAAGAAACCCTCCAGAGGACAAGATCGCGCTTCCTACGACACTGTCAGCCCCAGGATCCTGGAACGCCCCTCTCGCCATTCATTGCAGGCTGGAGAGCAGCATCCGGTGGGCGCCCATCTGCAGCCACCTCGTGGCCGGCGGCGGGGGACGCGACCCGGCCTCTCCTCCTTCCCCCTTCACCTGCCCCGCCTGAGCACTCACCTGGCAGGTCGTGCAGAGGCCCCCTTCAAACAGGGGGTGGAAGGTGACGGGGTTCTTCTTCCCACACGATAAGCAGCTGTCTGTTCAAGGATTCAAATAAATGGACCTCTTTATTTGCCTGGCATTTTAATATTTTATTTGCCCAACATTTCAATATCTTATTTGCCTGGCATGTTAATATTTTCTTTGCCCGGCATGTTAATATTTTAATTTTTGACTGCTTTTGTTGTCATGCTTAGTTCCATTTCAAGTCTTATTTTATTATGTTGGCTGTTCCTTTTCTGTCTATTTATGGTTTGTTTGATTATGTTGAAAGCCATCCTGAGACACTGTTAAGGACGGGGTAGAAATGCTGCAGACAGACAGACAGATTCAAGGAGGGCAGGACAGGCCCGTGAGTCTCCGACTGGCATTTCTTAAGGAGACGGCAGCCTTTCCCCACTACTGCTCTCTGGGGTGGTGGATTACAATGCCATCCTTATCCAGCTGGGCCCATTACTGAACCAGGCTAGGGATGATGGGAGTTGGAGTCTGACACATCTGGAAGAAGCCAGGTAAAGGAAAGTAACTCAAGACAAGCCTGATGCCCTCAGCTAGACTAAGCATGTAAAATGTATGAACCCTGCTCCAGGTACAGAAAGGAAAACCAGCACTGGAAAAAGCAGACAAGAGACATGTTTGCCTTGGAAAGGGTGGGGCTGTCTTTGGGGGCCGAAATATATCATGGGCAGCTGCGACTTCCTGGGGAAGCTCATTTTGAGAGCACAGAAGCCTGTAAACGGCACGCCCAGTAAAACAGAAACATAGAATCAGAAGGGGCCTCCGGGCCATCCAGTCTGACCCCCGGCTCCAACAGGCTCTGCTCACGACATGCCCACCATGTGCATGTCCAGCCTGTCCTTGAACACCCGCACTGATGGGGCCTCAACGACCTCCCGTGGAAGCCCATTGCACACCCTCGGGGTCCTGACTGTCAGGAAGTGCTTCCTGGCATCCAAATGGAACCTGGGTTCCCTGCGCTTGGCTCTGTTGGAGCGCGTCCTGCCTTCCTCTGCGGGGAGAACAGGTCTCTACCCACCTCCATGTGACACCCCCTCACGTACCTGTGCGTCGCCAACAGATCCCCTCGGAGTCTAGCAAGAGACACGGACCGGTCTGCACGACGTGTGGGCAGACCGAGGGTTTCTCGGTCTTGTTTCTCTCAGGGTGGCGGCTTCATGAATGTGAACCCAGCGCAGTCCCTTCCGGGTGGTTTGTTACTGACATCCAAGCCTGGCTGAGGACCCACGTCCCGTAGGGCTGCTCAGGGAGGCTCGCTCCCAGAATGGCTCATGGTTGGTACCAAGCCAGCCAGCTGGTTTGCACGGGGCTCATCGGAAAGGGCTACACACGGTAATGAACTCTCCCGATCCTCGTTTCGCTAGGCGTATCAACTCTCCATGACATGTTCAAATGGCGCTAGTCCATTTGCACCTCTGTTTTACTGCCGTGCCAGAAAGGGGAAGCTCTTTTTCCCATCTTTGGAGAGGCTTCCACAAATGTAGCATTTTTGCCTCATCTCTGAGAGACATGCAAATACTGAATGTTCTTTTCTTCACCTTTGGGGAGATTCGTGCAAATTTAATGTTACTTCTCTTTTTCAGGGTGTTTTGCATCAGGGGTCGGGGGGGAGGAACTGGTGCACTTTTCCAAAAACTGGGGAAATCTGTGCAAAAAGTGCTGATGCACAGTAGTTTCTGTTCTTTAATGAATGTGCGCAGACCTCCTCAAATGTAAAGCAAAAACCCAGATTAGGGTAAATTTGTGCACAGCCTCCCAGAGGGTGTCATGTTGACTATGCACACGTCTCCCCAAAGGCGCAAAACTGTACGCTGTGCTCCCCAAAGATGGGGAAAACATCTTTAAAGGGGCGCCTCTCTTTCCAAAGGTGAAAACCCATTTCTGCAGAGAGGCCTTGGGTCAGAGCGGGCTGCTGAAACTGCGCCCTCATGGGACACAGAGGGGAAACAAGCCACGGCCACCACTGGGTGCCCGAGCGTCTGCTGGGAGCAGTGGGGTGAGCAACCAGCCCCTCCGAGCGTCTTTTCGCAAACCAGCCCCCTGGGACAGCTCCTCCCCTCTGCCCCGTCTGCCTTTCTTTAGCCACCTCCTCATGGCCATGAAGCGGCAAAGCAAAGGGGGGGGGCGGAGCATTAAGCATCCCTGATGCAGCACCTGAGGCCCCGGAGGGCCCAGCCGACCGGAACGGCCTCGGTGCGTGTCCCAAGGCAGCTGCAGGGACACAGGCTGTGCTCCTCCAGGCCCTTCCCGGAAGCCCCGGGCCCTCCTGCAGGATGCACGCACCGCCTGGCCTTCCCGGCAAGCGTTTTGCTTCCCCTGCAGCGGCAAAGGTCCCCAGAGGGAGGGTGCCCTGCATATTTCGTCCTGCCGGCACGGCAGGTGCCAGGGCAACTCGCCTCTCTGGAAGGAGGGTGGCCACGGAGTCGCTGGCTGGGCTCTCGCCTGTGTCCCCCCCACAGAACGTGGATCCAAGCACAGGCTGGATCGGCACCTGCGAGCCAAAAGCGACTTTTCCCAAGCGCCTGCTGGGCGTGGGGCCGGAGCCGCCGACAGAGCAGAGGCCGCCCCTTACCTTCCAAGCTCTTCTTGTTATTCTTGACTTCGGACACCATCTTCTCTGCAAAGGAAGGAAGCGGCAGCCCAGTGTGAGTGGCCGGCCCTCAGCCGGGGTGCGGGCCGCACGTCCAGCGTGGCAGAGTGCGCAGCCGGCCGGGGCTGGAGTCGCTGCCCCGAGTCCCTTCCCGCTCCAGGGGCTCCTCTGCCACGGAGCACGCGCGGAGCCGGTGGGCAGACCGTCGGCAGCTCCGCCTCCTCTCCAGGGGTCCCCCATGAGCCCTCCGGCCTCCGTGCCGACGCGGAGGGCCAGCTTCTCTGCTCAGCAGGATCCGGCAGGCCAGCTGGGGCTGGGCGGCTGCAGGGAGGGCAGGCTGCGTGGGTGACCCCTGCGCCTCTTAAAACCTGCTCCTCCAGAGAACGTGAGGAGTTCAGGGACGACGATGCTCCTTCCGCATTGGGGTGCCAAACCAGAGGGTCAGCGACCGATTCCAGTCCTGCCTGGGCCCCAGCCATTGGCCACGTGGGGGGGCTCCTGGCCTTTTGCAGGGCTGTCCCCCACTCAGAAAGGCGGCAGTGTCTCTCCTTGTTGGGGGCAAGAGGGATGGCGGGCTTGGGCCAGCATTCCCATGGGATACTAGCCATGCCCCAGGGCGTATTGTCCAAGGTCTCCGTGCGACTGTGGAGCAGGATCTGGCTCAGGGTGCTGGGATGCAGCCGAGGAAAGAGTTTGTTCCAAGCACGGGGAGTGGGCCGTGCGGGACTGTGCCTGGGGCTGGCTGGGGCATGGAAGGGGCCACTGGGACAGGGAGCAGCTTGCCCCCCAAGCTGAACCCCGTGGTAAGGTGCCGGCAGAGGTGGGAGGCCCAACTGGAAGAGCAGAAGGTGGAGAGGAGGCGGCTTGCCTTCAGCCGTGGTTGCACGGAGAACCCCCGGAAGTTGTCGCTAGGTTGGGTTCAAGAAACCACTCTGTGCATGCTCAGAGGCTCCTTCGGGGGGATTTGCTTTGCAAGCGGTAAAGAAAACTTTCTCTAAGGAAAGGAAGGAAAACAGGCTGCAGCTGGTGTTTGTTCGAAGGAGGCGCCTCGGCTCGCTGCTCCCCAAGTTCAGCCGCTCGCAGTGAAAGCTGCGGCCCAAATCCGCTGCTCTATTTGGCCGTCGGGGCGCTTGGGCCCCTGCACGTGACTGGAACGTCTCCTGGGAGGGCCTCTGAACTGGGCTGGACTGGCTGGTTTAGCTGGAAGGGGGTGGAGCCGGAGCGGAGAGGCCTGCAGCCCGGAGGCCACTGCGGCCTGGGAGAGGCCCGTGCCCAGGCAGCCCTTCCTGCCTGGTCCCGGGGGACACGCGGACCCCGCAGGCCACCCGCCTGCCCACCCCCGGACACCCATTACCTCTGCTTTGGTTCACCTCTGCCTGCTCCTTGCCGCCATTGCAGACGACGGTCTTGAGCCGCTTGGTGGGGGGGGTGGCGGGGGGCTCCGTGGGGGGGGGGTCCTCAGCATCGCCCTTGCCGGGGGGGCTGCTCTCTGCAAGGCAAGCATGGCCGCTGCGGCAGGGGGGCTGGGGCCCCCCACCACACTTGCCCAACCCCCATGCCGGGGAGCCGCATTCACACGCCCGACCCTCTGCCTCGCTTCTGCCCGGGCACACGCCTTTCCGCTCCGCCCGCCCTGGTCCAGCCACGCCTCTCCCCGGCCCCAGCGCCCCCCTGGTCCTTGGGACCCCTCACCCTGAGGAAGGCAGGCCCTCCTTCCCCAGCCCAGCTATCAGAGGGTCGGTCTCCAGCCCCGCTGGCAGGATGCAGTGGTGCCCTCCAGGCCCCCGGACCCCCATGACGCAGCCACTCCGCAGGCCAAGAGCGAGGGTCATCCTGTTCGGGCCGTGTGGTGCGTGTGCCAGGAACCGCACCAAATGAGCCAGGCAGCTGGCAAGCCGGGCGGCACACCGCGCCCCAAACGGCCCCGGCAGGCTGGTCTGATGGAAACGCACTCCCCCGAGGCCACCCGGGTGAGCACCGTACCTGCGGCTTTGGGGGGCCTCAGCCCCTTGCCTCCCATGGGCTTGAAGCCATGGATGGCCCAGTCCACCATGGGCTTCAGCTTGTCCTCCAGGGAGTCCCCCGGAGCGCTGGGGAACGTCTTGCCGGCGCGAGCGCTTGCGACCTGCCAGGGAGGAAGCGGCTTTACCGAGCACCCCCGCACCGTCGGAGCGCCGTGCCTCCCACGGCGAGGGCTGGCGAACGCTGCCCGGCCACCACCTGGCCGCCACGGAGCGCGACCGTTCAATTTATGTAAAGCTTTTATGCACCGTCCCCTATACTAGCGTCTCAGGACAGTTTGCAGCAAACAACAAGTCAAGCCGAAATTGAAAGTAGCACAGCGTGCAGCATAAAACACATTAAAACCAATTAGACATTAAAGTCACGGGAGAAAAGGGACAGCTGGAGAGGCGTCCCGACCAGGGCCGGCAAGCACAAAACCGGTCCCCGGGCCGAGCTCCCCAGACGCGTCCACCCCCGCCGGTCCGGCAGAGGCACGCACGGACGGCCGGGCACTCCGAGGGACGCGTGGTCGCAGGCACCAAACGCCCCGGCAGGAAGCGGCACGCACGCTCGGGCAAGCTGGGCCCACAGAAACGCTGCACTGGCCAGTCCGGGGCACTGCGGCCGCGGGCCAGGTCGCATCGCGCCGATTTTCCCGGTGTGAAACGGCGCGTGGGACTGCCAGCTCCCGAGCTTTGTGGCAGAGGGCCGGCAAGGGCATGGGAGCGGTCGGGATCTGCGGCCCGTTGGCTGCTTTTGGGCACGATCCATGCTGGCGCTGGGAGAGCGCACTTCACCTGGGCCGGGGTGCCAGCGTGGCTTGAGATGGTCCCGGGCCCAGCAGAGCCTCCTGCGTTTGCCGGCAAGAAATCCGTTAGCGGCGGCCTGGCAGGAACGGGGGTCCCCATCGCCGGCCCCGCGCCCTAGCCCACCCCCTCCACCGGTCCCTCCTTTTACCTCCAGCACATGCAGGATGGCCTGCCGGTAGGAGACCAGCTTGTTGAAGGTGGTGGAGCTGAAATACGCCTGGAACGCCACCAGTCCCACCAGCTTGTCCACGGAGACCTGCAGTTGGAGAGCCGTGGCTTAGTTTTCGGGGGGGCTCCGCGCCAGGAAGCGGGGGCATCGGCAAGCGGCAGCTGGGAGTGCGTGCTTGCAGAGCGGGTCCCCAGCAAAACTCACAACGGACAGGAGTGACGGGAGCAGGAGAAGTTAAGCCGCCACGGTCAGGCCCCGTGGAGAGCGTGGCGGGTGCGGCCTCCCACTCCCCACCGCCACCAAAAGTGGCAGCAACACGTGTTTCACGCGGGATGCTGCACGGAGGGTTGCGACAGCCGTTGCGACCGGCGCCTCTGCGATCGAGGGTCGCGTAACGGTGGACCACGGCCGGGAAGACCCAGGTGCGAACCTCGGCTGCTCTCCGAGGAGACCCTCCATCACAGCCTCGCCCGGCGGTTCATGGACCTCTGTCCCTCAGGTGCTCAAAGGATGGGCCCAGGATGAGCCGGCGGGTGGGAGGGGGTCGGGCTGGGGTCCCAGGGGTGTGGGTTCTGTCCCCCGCTTGGGGCTGGCCGTGGGCCAGGCACTCGGCTCTCAGTCTTGCCTTCCTCACAACGACGTCATTGTGAGGATAAAATGTGCGTAAGGAAAAATAGGGGCTTTCCATCGCGTAAAGAAAAGCGGCAAGAGATGCGCGAAACGTTGGAAGGCGACGACGACGACGACGGAGGTTCCGGGGACGGCTCCGACTGGGGCACCCGGCAGTCCGAGGCTCCGGGGCGCTCTGCCACAGCACGGCACCGTTTCCGCTTCAGGACTGGTGCGCATGGTGCCTGCCCCCCCGCAGGCCCGCCAGGCCTTGCCCACCCTGCCCGGCCTGGCCTGCAGTGTCCCCTGCTGGGGCGGAAGAGCTGAACCACTCCCCCGCCTGCCCCAGGGCCTCAGCCCGATGCCCAGCCCGGCGCCCTGCAGGCGTGATCCCACGTGCCCACCTGCCCCGCAGCTGGGGGACTTCAGCTGCCTGCACCGCCTCTCCCACACCCACCCCTACCCGTGGCGGAGGCCTCGCCAGCAGGATGCGGCCCTCGCCTGCCACACTTCCGCCCGTCTCCGCATTGTGCACAGGCGGAAGAGAGGACCCTGTGAGCATCTCTCTCCTCCTCCTCCTCCCCCCCCCCCCAGCAGGCACTGCACGCAGGAGCGCTGGCCGGGGGGGGGGGCGCAGGACCTCGTCTGAGATGCCCAGCCCCTGGCACTACCCGAGCGCCAGGCCGCCCACGACCACGACCTCCCCGCCACACGCCTCACCTCGGAAAACTTTCCGTCGCCAAACCACTTGACCCAGCGCATCCCGGGGGCCGCCGGGCGGTTGGACGTGGCCCTCCAGGAGACGACGAGGGCGGGCCACCACGCAAAGCCCTTGATCTTCCCCCACACCAGCTCCCCGGTCCTGAAATCCTTGCCATCCTACAAGTCAAGCGGGAAAAGGTGCACAGGCCAGCGGGAACAGCAGCGCGAGGCAGGCGGGAGACGGGGAGGCGCAGCACGGCCCCCGCCCCGGCGAGCGGGCTGGGCAGAGCTGCTCGGGGCGCCAGCCGGGCCTCCATGCCCCTGGCCAGTGCCCTGGGGCAGCGAGGGCCCCGTCGGGCGCACCTCTCACGCCGCCCCCGGGCACCCGGCCGGCCCATCCTGGCGGCCGGATGCGGCCAGTGCTGCCCCTCCGGCTCAGACACAGCCGGCCTCTGGGCAGCGGACCCCCGGGACTGGCAACAGGGGACAACGGTGGGCCCCAGGCCGCCTCCAGGCTTCCCACGGGCACGTCCACCCGGCCACGCCTCAGGATCAGGATGATGGGCTAGGCTGATTGCTCTGGGTGGGTCGGCAGAGCGGGCAGGCCTGGAGGCCGGGGGCTGCGAGGCTCGGAGGGCCACATGGCCGGCCGACTCCACCGCAACCGCACTTAAATCACGCGACTCAGGAAACGTTTGCCTTGGCCCACGTCGGTGCCGTCACGAGGCTGATCGGACTGCCGCGCGTTCAGCCCGCCCTTTGGCTCAGTCGGAGTCGCCTGCTCAGTCGGTGGACGGGTTCAGCGCCCAGGCAGCGTTGCGCTGAACGCCTGGGATGAAAAGCGCTTGAACGCACGGAACCGCGGAGCGAAGCGTCTGCTGCAGGTCGCGCCCAAGCCGTGACGCGAGGCGGGCGGGCGGGCGGGCGGGAGGGGCTTTCCCGATGCCTGTCGTCCTCTCCCCCCATTCCTTGTGGTTAACGGGAGTCCCAAAGGGAACTGCAGCAGCGTCAGAGCGGACTTGTTTGCTCGTGTTCCAGCTGTGGATGATCCGTGTTTACTGCTCTGCAACTCAGCACTTGCTGGATTGGGTCACATCCGCGTCTGGCTCCGCAGCACTGCCAAACCCACACCTGAGGCCTCTGACCCACAGCCGTGCTGAGCGTCTGCACGAGGGCTGCACCGGCCTGCCTGGCTAGGAGACCCCCTCAGCCCCCCTACCTGGTATTCCTCGGTCCTGCTCAGCACCCGGCTGGAGTGGCATCCGTTCGGGACGCCAGCGCTGCTCCTGCCTTGGCTGGAGTCCATGGAATTCCCCTCCGAGAAGTCAATTTGGACACCTGCAGCGAGCCTCTTGGAATACTGGGGAGGGAAAGAAGGGGCTGAATTTCCGCAGGAGACCAGAAAGTCAACCGCGGAGGAAGAGAAGCTGCTGGTCACGACAGCCACGGGGACAACCTCCCATGCATACCAAGTCCAGAAATCGGGGCTGGAAGCTACCCAATATGCCCATCCCAGCTCCCCGCCCATCCACACCTGAACACACACCATGAGGACTAGAAGAATGCGCCAACGGGCAGCATCCTTGATTGGCCAGCCCGCTTTCAGCCGCAGCCCTACCCTGATCTTGTGCCGCTCCTTGAAGCCCTCCACACTCTCCACGTCCTCTTTCGGCTTCTTCTCTTGCGAGGCGGGCCCGGCCTGGAAGACGATGCGCGGAGGGGGCTTCTGCCGCAAGCTGCTCTCCCAGCCAGCAGCTCCACGCATCCGCACCTGGTCGAGAAGGACGGAAGCAGCCCGTTGCCCAACTCAGCGGCCCTCTCGCTCCGTCAGGGAAAGAGCAGGCGCTGGGCCAGCACCAGGGGCCACGGAGGGCCGGGGGAGCCGGGGCCCGCCCCCCCCCCCCGGGAGCACAGGCTCCGTCTCCTGGCCCATCCCGTGATGCAGGGGCAGGGGAAGCGGCGGCTCAGGCAGATCACGGAGGGGGCGGCTTTCTTGGCTCGCTCGGAAGTGCTCCCAGCCCCAGCTTGGATCAGGACCGTGGTGACCCAGAAGGGGCCATTATAACCTCCCCCGACCAGGAGTGCTTACCCAGAAATTCTACAGGGATGAATTTCAGCATGAAAATGGGGGCAGGAACAGAAAGCATCTTCCACCCCCCCCCCCCCAAGATCACCACGGTCCGCGTCCAAATTGGGCTGCACAAACTTGCGCAGGAACAACCTTCGTTCACTTTGCTCTCAGCCTGTGTGGCCCTGATTTGGATCGGGACCACAGCGCCCCGGGAAGGAGGGCCAATTCTGCCCGCTGTAGCATTTTTCCTTTTTCTTCTTTTGGCCGACTTTTCCCACATATGGGGAAAGTGGCATTTTGGCACGAAAACGGGGGCAAAACCTGCATCGCCCCTCCTGGGGTGCCGCGGTCCCCATCCATCCACACTTACACCAGAGCAAGGGTTTTGTTTGGCTGTAAGGGAAGCCGCCGGGGAGGAGAGGATGGGAGACCCCCGCAACCCCAGCTCCAGGGGCGGGGGCCCCTTCGGCAGTAATTCTCTCTACTCCATTTTTCTGTGGCGAGCCAAATGTTCTTGTTTTTAAAGGGAGGGGGTCTGTTTGGAGGGGGATCAACAACCCTAAGTCAACCTTAGCTCTGTTTATTTATGTTTATTAAGGTTGTAAGCCGCCCCGAGGCTTTTTGCGAATGGGGGGGGGCATAAAAATGGTTCAAATAAATAACTAAGTAAAGGAGCCAGGACCGGGCCCCCCCTTTAGAGAGGGGACGAAGGTCAAAGGTCAAGCAAACATCTCCAAGCATCTGGTCCCCATCTCAGGCTTCAACAACAGAAGTTCATCCAGGAGAACAGAACCAGACGGTGCACGGACACCGTTGGGTTCCATGCGGAGGCCGGTGCCCGACGAATCTGAGCGGTTTTTTCCTCAAGGGCTGAGCAAAGTCGCCACAGCGGGACGCCAAAGGCTCTAGTTGCGCTGAAGCCAGCCCTGAACCGCTCGGAGCAGCCCCGCTGCGCAGCCCTGGGGACAGGACGGGGCAGGACAGAAATGTCCCTGCCGCCTTCAGCCCCGGAACAGGCTCCGCAGTGAGCTCCAAGCCGCACTTGGCCGGATGCAGGGCCTGGCGTTCCAACACGGGCCCCCTAAAATGGAGAAAAATCCCACGCACTGGAAGGATGGTGTCCAGGGGGCCAAAGGATTTTTCGGATGCCAAGCCGCGGGGCCATAAACAGCAGTCAAACCACAGAGCTCGGGACTCGTGCCCCCCGCCCCACAACCGGCATGGAGACAGCGCAAGGCAACCCCAGAGATTGGGTTTGGCGGGCATTCTGGGGGGCAGAGAGGTAGGGGCTGCTTGATGGCTACAGCCAGGAGAAGACGAGGTATTGGTGGTACGTTCTGGCTCCAGCAGTCTCTAAAAACTGGCCAGGAGCGTCTAACGTATTCGGGGGAAGGGCACGCAAGGAAGGAAGAGGCCCGCTCAGAGGAGGCGATGTCACGGAAGCAGGGTGCAGGGCCGAGGCGAGGCCGAGGAGGCGCTCCCCGGGGTCGGGCACGGGCTGCCTGCCCAGCATCCTGTTTCCGAGGGGCCAGCAGGCGCAAGCCTGCCCCCGCCGCTGGCCTCTCCTGGCTGCAAGCACGGCAGCAAGCTGCAACCGCAGAGTCAGCGCATGCGCCGCGGGGGTGGGAGAGGCCGAGGGCCCCGCACGATGCCTGGCAGGGGCTTACCTCCTGGGCGTCCTTGGGGGGCTCCTCCACTGCACCCCCCTTGCTCTCCTCCTTCACCTTGTGGGGCAGTTTTTCCGAGTCGCCAGTTTCTGAGCAAAGGAAAGTATGTTCTTGAGTCGGTGCAGGGAAGGGGAAGGCTCGGGTGTCTCCCCCGTTCTTTCCTCCAAGATCAGGCTTGGCAGGACCCAGGTGCTGGGCATTTCCCAGCTCAAGCGGTGAGCGCCCCTCTCCATCCAAAGCGGCCTCAGGGCGACGCCGCAGGTTGACGTTTCTCCAGCCCTCCCCGATTTCTCCTGCCCGACGCAGCCCACTGGCCGGGCGGGATTGCAGCTTCCGCGCTCTCCCGGCACCTCCGGGCAGCCCCAGGCTGGGATTCTGCCCCCACCCTGGCGGGCTGAGGGACCGCCTCCAGATGCACTGGGTCCCCGATGGCTCCGAGCCCCCCAGCCCACAACTCAGCCACCCCCGAGTGGCATTTGGTGTGGCTGCAGCTCCTCTAGCTGCCCTGTGTGGAACAGACAAAGATTCTGTGGGGCTGCCCACATGGCCTGCGGTCACCCTCTCTGCATGCAGGCGAGTCAGGACCTGGAGGTCCCCCGGGCTCCTCTCCCGCCTCCCGTGGCTGATCCAGCCAAGCAGCCAGCGCCCGCCAGCTCGCCGGACTACCAGTTGCTTCCCCGAGTAAGAAGCCCACAGCCAGGGAAGTGCCCCAGCGAGCAAAGAACTGGCCCTGCCACGGGCCACCAGGAGCTGCCAGCCAAGGGCCCTCGGACGGCCAGGCAGTGGAACGGCCCTCCTTTGCTGCTGCTCCTCCCGAAACCACCGCCGGAGGAGCCCAGAGCCTTCCACCGAGCGCCGCCTGGGCCTGGGCCTGGGCCTGGGCCTGGGCCTGTCCTCAGCCTGGGCCCTCCCATCAATCTCTCCTGGCCAGGACTGCCAGCATGGACTGGCAGCAGCCACTCTCCAGGGCTTCCAGCAGAGGTTTGCCTGCCTTGCCGGCTGCTGCTGCGGACTCTCCGGGCCCTTCTGCACCTGAGCAGTCCTCTCCTGCCAGGGACCATCCCCAGAGGAGGTGGCCACCTCGGGAAGCAAAGCGTGTCCACAAAAGGGAGCAACATCAACGGCGATTTCTGATGGCTCTCGTGTCGCGGCTACAGGTGCGGGGGGAGCGCTGAGGATTCTGCTCCCGGGCCCAAACACTTTGGCAGACCCGAGCACGACCGTTATGTGGAAAACACCCTCTGACCCCGGAAGGTGTGGGGAAAGTTGGGCCTCCCCATACACCGGTGGAGTCCGGGAGCCGCGAGCAGCAGAGGCCGCTCCCCCCGCAGAGGTACCTGCTTTCTTCCGCTTCCCCTTGGCTTCCGGCGTGGGGCCAGGGCCGGCCTCGGCCTCGTCGCTGCAGCTCCCGCTGAGCAACGCCAGCTCGCCGTCCTCGTCCGTCTCCTGACAGTCATGCTTTTCCTCTTTCATCTTAAACGTCAGGATGGGGTTTCAGGAAACGCACTCCTCAGCCTGCATCAAAAAACCGAACATCACTTTGCACCTTTATGTGTATTGAGAAAGCCCTGCATTGTTCTGTGCTTGCTCGTTTTTTTTAAAATGACCCAGAAAGTGGAAGCCACACAATGCCAGGGCATGGTCCATTTTCTCTGGAAGGAAGCCCTGAGCTGGGCTGCAGCCAATGCTAGCCTAACCAAAGCCCCATTCATCTTGATGTGCCTGCTCGAAGTAGGACTAAAATCAGATACACCCCTTCATACTATGGGGTGCATCTTAGGAACGAGCAACCATGTAAGAAGCACGAGAACTTCTGGTTTAAGGATCATGCCAGCTGAAAGCCCTTTCCAGCCTGAAACGGAACACCGGTTTTTAAAAAACGGATGCCTTTCTTATCCAAAGGGAACTCTGGGGAGGAAAAATATCTGCGGTTCTTGTTATTTTGAACTGTGTTGCGCACCCTTTTTTGGTGGAAAGGCGAAGGCAGGAATCAAGTTCATAAAACGAGTAACATTCCAGGATCTGCTTTTTGTCCATCGTGCTCCAGTGAGGCTACCATCTCATGCACAATTTACCAAGCACCTCCCTGTTATTGCCTCGCTGTCTGGAGAGTTCCTGCACGCAATTGTCCCTCTGCACATATTATTAACTTCTTCACAGAAAAACTGTAGAATACCCAGTCTCCAAAACTGGCTTGAATGAAATGGGCATGAACCCACAAATACTTGCTTAAGACTGGGGTATATTATGGAAAGCTATATTTGGGTGTTGTGGTATAGATGTCCTTATCCAAAAAATACTGCGGTGAAGGACCAGATATTAATTGCTCATCATCAAAGTAAAATGACATTAAAACAACAAACTGCTATTCCTCCGGCCCCCGAGTGCAGCCATTCGCAGCCTGAGGCCTTGGTGATCACTTGGATCCCTAGTCCCATCGTCCCCAGCTAGCACACTGCTGGAAAAGGATGGTGGTTGGGATCCAACCCATCTGGAGGGTACCAAGCGGGCAACAGCTGGCCGGAAGCCTTGAGCGTGGGTCTCCTCCGGGCACTCAGCCCCGGCTGGTCAAGCCCTTCTGCCCCAGGGCTGGATTCGAATCCAGAGCAGCTCCGGGAAGCCGCGCTCCGGCGGAGGGAGGGCGAAGGCAGCAGCGCTGAAGCCAAATGCAAGGAGGCCGGAGGCTGAAGATGCCAGCGGCCTCTCGGTGCCCGTAGCGGGTGCCCACGACGCGATCACAGGGAAAGAATCGGCAAGGGCTGGGAAGCCACCCAGCAATGGGTAGCCAAGCAAAGGGGCCCTCGAAAATGCTGGGATGCGTCCTCACAAGGCGCGTGTTCGGCTCGTCCTCCCCAGAACAACGGAGGGACAAAGGAAGGCGAGGAAGCCCCGTGCGTCTGGACGAGGCAGACCTCCCTGCCGCTTGCCGAACCCACGCGGGGAGCTGCCTGGGCTTGCTGGTCTCCGCTCGGCTGCTCACGGGCCCGAAAGGGCCGCTCATTGTTCAGGCTGACAAGAAGCCATCAGCCGCGCTGCTTCCCCTCCCAAGGCCACCTGTGGCTTCACCCGGCGCCCTGAACCTGCTGGCAACGCCCGGCTCAGCCAGCGCAGGTGTGACGCGGTCCTGCAGGCACAGAGACCCCTCGCGACCCGGCTGAGCAAACACCAGGGCCTGCATTCAGACAAACACGCCAAGTCTCCAAAAGCATTTGAGAACGCGGAGCATGAAGGGGTGGCCCACACGCCTCTGTGGGACCGCGTCCCGACGGCTCCTGCATCCTGAGACCTGCTGGGCCAGACCCAGGCCTGTGGCATCCGGCTTCCAGTCGCTCACAGGGACAGCCCAGTGCGCCAGGTGGGAAGCCCACAAGGAGGGCCGGGGCTGAGCAGCACCCCCCCACTCGCGTCGGGAGGCACCCCCTGATGCTGGGGGCAACGTGAAGCCATCAAGGCCAATGGCCTCCAGGGCAGCCCTCCCCTACCTGGTGCCCTCCATGGGAGATACAGCCCCAAACATCTCAGGAGCCGGACCTGGGAGCGGTGGATCACCCTGCCCAGTTCACTGCAGCCGAAGAAAGATGCGGACGAGCTGAGAAGGGGTCAGGAGGGCAGCAAGGTGGTCCTGGGACTGGAAGCAAAGCCCCGTGAGGAGGGATTGAGGGAACTGGGCACGCTCGGCCTCGCGAAGAGAAGACCGAGAGCGAGGAATGTTAGCGTGCTTCAAGTACCGGAAAGGCTCTCCAAGGGGACGGCCAGCTCTCTCCTTGCCCGTTCCAGAGAGCGCAACCTGAAGCGCAGGCCTCAGGTTGCAGGAAGCCAGATTCTGGCTAGACATCAGGAGAAATTTCCTGACAGTTAGGGCAGTGCGGCCATGGAACCCGGGACGCAGGGAGGCTGTGGGCTCTCCACATGGGAGGGATTCACGAGGCAGCTGGGCCGCCACCTGCGAGGGGGACTCGGCTTGGAGTCCTGCGCCCGATGCCCCTCCACCGCCACGGTTCTAGGATTCCAGAGAAGATGAGGTGCAAGCCCTGGCACGGTTCTGTCAGCAGCGGTTGCCTCTTCCCACCCAACCTGCTTTTGGGGCTCCCCCGCTTCCGCTTCCACTGCAACTATCTGGCCCTTCTCACCTCCTCCAGGTTGGGATCACCTTGAGTGACACTTCCCTAGAAAGTCGTCCGTCCGGCAGTTCCCCTCGGCTGCACAAGAGCAGGGCTGGCTGGGTCAAAACGGAGTTTGGCGAGGGCCGGCCGGCCGGTTCTCTGCAGGTTAAGCTAGCCTGGCCCAGCTTCAGCTGTGAAGGACGCACCCCTGTGCACATTCAGACAAAGCCAGGTGCAGCTGCTCCCAGCAACCCGCAGCCAGCCGTGCTGGGCGGCCACCGCAGGGGGGTTCTGACCTTCTCGGCATCCCGAGAGGCCCAGCGCTTGGGATCTGTGCTACTGGGTCAACCAAGGTTCATAAAACATTCCAGCCGCAAATGTCAGCTAACCAGGAGAGACGTCCGGGCTGGATGTGTCTGTCCGACTTCACGCTCAGCGGGTTGTGCCACGAGAGAACCTACTTCTTCCTGTCTGACCCTCCCCTGACCTCCACGGGCCAGTGCCGTCCACCTCAATTCCCCTTCCTCATGGTCACCACCATCAGGAAAAGACGGTCAGTCAGAAGGATCCGGGAAAACACGGGCACCTGTATTTCTGGGAAACGGCTCCTTCGAGCCTCGTTTATGGAGGTTTCACTCCGATAAACACTTAGCCAGGCGGGCTTCCCCAGCGTGGCGGCATCTGGTACATCCGACTACAATTCCCAGCACCACCGCTCGGCGGGAGTGGCTGCACGAAGTGAGGGGCTGGCCTGGGGGGGAGCGGCCTTCGGAAGGAAGCCCACCACACACAATGCAGCCCGCCCAGCAGACACGTGCCGGCGCCGGCACAGGCGCTGCCGCGAGGATATGGGGAAGCGCCCCGGGGCAGGCCGGGCGGGACGGCCTTCCCTCCTGCATGCCGGCACTTGATGCCGCCCCGCCCCACCCCGCGGTGTGTGGGCACCTGCGCTTTCCGCCCAGCATTGTCCTGGCCGCTTCGCCTGCCGCGAGGAACAGGTGCAGACGGCGCCCCAGCACTGGGGCTCCGCCGGCCCCGAGAATGAATCACGCGGGAAGAGAGGCATCACCGGGCGCGTGACGCTCTGTGGGAAAAGCACGAGCCACCGGCTTCCCCAACACACCACCCAGCTCCAGAACGGGGGCCCCGCGGCTCCTGACCAGCAACGGCGCATGCGCCTCAGTGCGTCCTTCTCACGCCGCAAGACTGTGGGGTCCGGAGGTCTGTGCTCACCGCCGGCTCGCCTTTGGGGAAGGCACCTATGCGGGCCGTCCGGCCTCCGGCCACTCGCAGCCGCTCTCCTCCTTCGGGCGAACCCTTGCGTGGTCCCCCGAGCCACCCGCCACTCTGACCAGGGATGCCGGGAGCCGTGGCTGCGACCCCGCATGTGGCTGGGGCTTGTGGCAGCCCCGTGGAGGGAAGACGGGCGGACGCTGCGCTGGGCGTGGGCACGGCAGGGCTGTGCTGAGCTTGTCCTTGGGCGCTTGCTCCGGAGCAGGTGCAAGCCAGCTGGGCCGGCCATTGCTGGGGAGGGCGCCTTGGGGGGGCTGGGTCTACCAAGCGGTCGGGCAGCATCAGAGCTCACGAAAAGCGCGGCAGGCAGCAGCAGGACTCAATGCTCTGGCAACGCACGTGGGGCCCCCAAACGGCCAGCACTGGGGAGCTGCGGAAACCTTTGCTCAAGCGGTGGGAAGGAAAGCATGCAGATACGGAAATTCGGCACGGGGCGCTGGCCCTTGCAGGCGAGACTCGGGGTCTGCGTGCTCCACTCCCCTGCCGAAGCAGAGCAGAGCAGAGGTGGCCCACGGGAGCATGGCCGGCTGGCAGCAGGAGCCCCCTGTCCGAGTGCAGCCCGAGGGACTCCCCTCGACTCTGCACAAGCCCCTCCGCGCTCAAAGGCGCACCGCACTCCTGCAGCCGAGGGAAAGCGTGGCCTGCAGCAGCCTTCCCAAGCCCACTGCCCCCCAGCCATCATCCCTGGGTCTCCATTTTCAAAAAAAAATTTCCGCCGCTATCTCACCTTCCTGCCAAAAATGGCTGGGGGAAGCTGGCTGTCAACTGGACTTACTGCAGGGAACAAGAGTTGCTTATTAGAAAGGCCCGAAGAGTGTTTGGGAGCACAGATCACTTCATTCAGCTCGTTTCCCCTCTCCCCAGACTCCCTGCAGGCCTTTCAGGAGAAGCCCCTGCAGTGGGGAAGGCCGCCGGTTCAGGCCTTCTGGGTGCCAGGCAAGGCCCTCTTCCGGCCCCCCGTTTCGTTCCCCTTCTGCCCCTGCTGGGCGCTGCTGCAAAGGACCCTCAGCACAATTCAGACAATTACAAACACCCCGTTTGATTCTGTAGGAGCGTAACAGGCGCACACTTTTAACT